CGCGGGGGGTCGTATACCTGCAAGGGGAGGGACTGCTGTACCGCGGGGGGTCGTGTACCTGCAGGGGGACGGAGGGGCATCGACAGAACCACGGACACCGCGTCGTGGGTCAGCTCCGGCTCGCCGGGAAGTCCTGCCTGGCCCCCCGACCCCGGGGACCCCCGCCCGGCGCGCACCCGGCGGTTTCCTGCAGTGGAGGGCCCCCCGGCCGCCCTGGCGCCCCCGGCCCCCGGGTGCTGCTCCGCCCGCGGGCCTGGGAGCGAGGGGCCGCTCGGAGCTGCAGCCCGGGCCGAGCCGGGGGTGGGGTAGCCAGGCGCGGCAGAGGCGTGTGGGCCCAGCCTCTTCGGGCCTCGCGGGCGAAGGCGGCCCCGGGGACCAAGCTCCGGCGGCATTGGGAGGTGCTGAATCCGGGGGAAGCAGCGGGCGGAGCCGCCGCGGGGACTGACCCAACTGCGGGGGGCCTTCTGGAGCGGGCGGGGCGGGTTCGCGAAGAGCCAATCAGAAACAAGAAGCCCAATTACGTGGAGATAGCGGATTCTGAGTGGAGGGACCACCGGGGGGGGGGCGGGGCGGGGCTGCGGAAAGCCAATCAGGAGCCGATCCTGCCGGCCGGGGCGGGTCGGCCGCGGCCCAGCCTCGCCCGCCAGTACTGTACGCTGATTGGCGGCGCGGGTTAGCGAGAGGCCAATCAGAAGTCGAGGTTCGCGGGCTCTGGCTGGCTGGGGCCGCGGCAGGATCGAGAGCCGCTGGAGAGCCGTGTCGCCTCGGCATCACAAGTCGCTGCGGGTGAGCCGGCAGGGGAGAGCGGGGACCGCCCCGACAGCACTGGGGGTGCACCGGGGGGCCTGTGGTGCTACTCTCCCGCAGTGGCCTGGGGACCGGGCGGAGGGGCGGCCGTGGGTGGGGACGGGGTCCGGGCCGCAGCCCCCTGACCCATGCGCCCCGGCCCCCGACTCTCCCGTGGCGACTGGGCGGAGGGGCGGCCGTGGGTTGGGACGCGGTCTCGGGGCTGCAGCCCCCTGACCCATGAGCCCCCACCTCCTTATTTTCCTGCCTCTGGGGTCCTGGAGCACCCCACTCCCCCCCACCCCGTGCTCCAGCAGGAGGACCTCCAGAGCCCCCAGCCGCCCACTGTGGGGCCCTGGGCTGGGCACAGGGGTCACCGATGTTCCCTGGGCATAACCCCTCTCTGCACCAGGCGAGGTCAGAGCAGGGGAATCTCGGGAGAAGGGCACTGTGCAGGGCGTCCTGAGTCGAGTCTAACTAGACTTTGTCCATCTGGCCCGGAGCGGGGAGAACTCAGAATAACTAACTGCGTTTCCACCAGGCTATCTCCACACAGTGCAGGGTTGAAAGTCCAAACCCCCGGGTGTGGGACAAATTATGTGGTATTCACCGGCCGCGTGTGGGGACAAAGTATGTGGTATTCACCGGCCGCGTGTGGGGACAAAGTATGTGGTATTCACCGGCCGTGTGTGGGGACAAAGTATGTGGTATTCACCGGCCGTGTGTGGGGACAAAGTATGTGGTATTCACCGGCCGCGTGTGGGGTTGGAGAACGTCTGCTCCCTGGATGCTTTCTCAGTCGCTTGGTAAAGCCCTCCTGCCTCAAGTGTAGCCCGACCTCCTCCGGAATTTGGATTCTCTTCCTTGTCCCTCCACACACCGCAGACATCAGGGCACACACCACTGATGAAGTGTCTCTTTCCTTGTGCTCACTGACTTTGAGGAGCTGACGGTCAGTGCCGTTAGTGTTATCATTTGAGTCCTTGTGTACAAAGAAAGGCAATTTTCAGCTCGGAAAGAAAGAACCGTAGAAGCATAGGAAGTCCGAGGTGCCAGGGACTCTCAGGGTGGACCTGTCCAACCCCTACTTAGCAGAGATGTGACCAGTGCGCCCTTTCCGAGGCTCAGCCGTGCTGCTGGGATTGATGACGCTTTGTTTCTCGCAGCAGAGCGACTTTCTGCCCTCGGGGTTTTTTATTGTGGTAAAACACACCGGATCGGCTCAGCTCCTTTTTGTACCAATTCGTCTTTTGATGGCGAGAGCTGCCAACACTGCTTCCCTCTCCTTCAGTGGTGCCAGCCCCATTGGACGAAGGTCTGGGAACATTTTCTAGGCTGGAAGGGAGACAGCTAGGTTCCTTTTATCTTTAAGGGTTTGTAATTCATATCAAATTCAGAATTACTCTGACATCCTTAATGTTTAGGAGTTGAAAAACTGTGAATCCAATTCATGTTGGGTTTAAACCTTTCAAGTATTTTGAACTTCAAGTATTCTTACTCCTGGCCTTATATCAGTTTATAAATCTCCAGAAGGAATGTTAAAATTTTCTGTGAAGTCTTAAAGCCCAAATACAGTGTGATAGGATATGTTGGTTCCCACAAGTTTCGGGTGCAAGGATTATGTTTTGAAACCCCATTCAGGCTTTGTCACAACATCTTAGTGAACAAGCCTAGAAAGCAAATACTCTGGTCAGAAAGTAAACATGGAAAGTGATTGGCAAGAACGCAGTGACTATGACAGGTGGTAGAAACTGGCCCGTGGCGGGAGCAGCTGGCTGCAGGCTTCCGAGGGAGAGAAGTCACTTTGGAAAGAGGATCTATAGGAAGACCGGGAGGGGGAGGAGAATGGCATTTTAGGCTAGTATTCTTTTTTTTTTTTTAAGATTTTATTTATTTGACACGGAGAGAGAGTACAAGCAGGGGAGTGGTGGGCAGAAGGAGAAGCAGGCTCTCTGCTGAGCAAGGAGCCCGATGTGGGACTTGATCCCAGGACCCCAGGATCATGGCTTGAGCTGTGCACCCAGAAGTCCCTAGGCTAAAATTCTTGTCATCACTTGAGTCATCAGGCATAGACTTGGGGCTGTGGCGGGGAGGGTATCCTATGGGAGAGCCCCAGTGTGCCTCTCTGAATTTTATCCCCGTCTCCTCACTGGAGTGAGGTGAGCTCTGGCTTTCATAGATCTGAAGTGATTAGACGTTCATGGGCATAGTGTGATCTGGGGAGCTCCGAGAAGGTCCTAAAACCCCACACACCCCCAGCCCCTTGTCCTTGCCAGTCTCTCACAGGGACTTTTTTTTTTTTTTTTTTTAAGGTTAAATTTACAAGGAGTAAGATTCACAGATCTTATCCTTAAGTTTCAAGTTTGGACAGATGTATGTATCCGTGTAAACCAGGCATCATTGAGATCTAGACATGGCCCTCCAGAGAGCCCTCCAGAAGCGACAGCTGTTCCGGTTTCTGTAGATGAAAGCTTGCTCTTCTTGAGATGCTTCTTGTATGATGCCATCTCTTGAACCGCCATCAGAATCATGCCCTGAAATGCAGCCCACCCGCAGACGTTACTCGTTACCTACAGCTTAGTATGAAGGGGGCGTTGGAAGAAAGCTATTTTGGAAAAAGAGGGAAGTGAGGGTGCATGGAACTGAAACATTTGGTTCCTGAAGGCTGTTCAGAAGCCCTTCCCTGTGGTATCTGTGTCATGTAGATGCTTTTGAGGGATGCCAAGTGTGTGCAGTTTTTTTTTAAGGTATTATTTATTTATTAGACAGAGAGAGATCACAAGTAGGCAGAGAGACAGGCAGAGAGAGAGGAGGAAGCAGGATCCCTGTGGAGCAGAGAGCCCGATGCGGGGTTCGATCCCAGGACCCTGAGATCATGACCTGAGCCGAAGGCAGAGGCCTTAACCCACTGAGCCACCCAGGCACCCCTGCAATTTTTTTAGTGTTTTTATTTATTTGTTTATTAAAGATTTTATTTATTTATTTGACAGAGAGAGATCACAAGTAGGCAGAGAAGTAGGCAGAGAGAGAGGAGGGAGCAGACTCCCCACTGAGCAGAGAGCCCGATGCGGGGCTCGATCCCAGGACCCTGGGATCACGACCTGAGCCAAATGCAGAGGCTTTAACCCACTGAGCCACCCAGGCGCCCCATAGTGGTTTTTTTTTTTAAAGTAAGCTCCATGCCCAACGTGGAGCTCAACATGGGGCTCCAACTCACGACTGTGAGATCAAGATGTAAGCTGAGATCAAGAGTCAGACATGTAACTGACGGAGCCACCCAGGCACCCCTAGATTTTATTTTTAAGTAATCACTCTACCCAGCATGGGGATCAAACTTATAACCCTGAGATCAGGAGTCACATGCTGTACGCCCTGAGCCAGCTGGGCAGCCTTGTGGAACTGCCCATTATGTTTACTTCCAGCCCTTATTCTGCTTGGCTGTAGAAAAGTGATTCTTTGCAACGTAAAGGTCAACTGAGTTCAGTGTTAATTCATACACTTCAGGGGTGTGCTTAGTTCAGGGCTCTTTGGTGTTCTCAGTTTAGTACTTACTGCCTTGTGACTTGATGTTCTGAGCAGCTTCTGAGTGTCGGACTGGAAGGGTGTTTGTGACCATGAGCTGATGTGCCTCGTGTCCCGGAGCGCCCTGGGGCATCTGCTCGTGTCCTCCAGGGCTCACACCATGCCTTGCACACCAGCCCATGCTTCTGGATTGAAAGTGTGTATGGTGAGCTGGACGATGAGGTTATGATTCAGCGGAACTGGTGGGCAGCAGAGTAAGATCCCTGGATCTGAACTTATGTTTTAGCCCCAAGCTGTCCCCTCTGTCAAAGGGACAATACCATGGGTCCGGGGTCTTGGTGTGTCTCAGCAAAGTGTTCCTCCTGTCGCGACCTCAGTCTCCCCGGGAAGACAGCTGCTGGGGGGAGTGGGCCAGGAATGGGACTAGGGCGTGCCAGGGGCTTTCCTACCTCCTGTTTGTGAGGTGAGTTTGAAAGTAATCTATGATGCAAGAATATTTATTCACCTGCCCAAACACCTCTTTCTTTATCCCATTTACGAATTTAATTTTTCAGCTTTATGAGTGAAAATTAATGAAATGTATAGAATCAGGAGCGAGCAGCATCATGATGGGTCTGTCTTAAGAAAAATCACTTAAGTAAATGTGTTCATTGTGTGTCCTCTTCCTAGTTGGTTTGTTTTCCCGAGACGTAATGTCACACGGAGACGATCAGCAATCCCAGGCTCTTGCCAAACCTACTTTCAGTGACGTACAAGCCTCTGCATTAGTGGAATCGGTATTTGGGTTAAAAGTTTCCAAGATCCGGCCACTTCCCAGCTATGATGACCAAAACTTTCATGTGTGCATTTCGAGTGCCAAAGACACCGCAGATGAGCCAACAGAGTACGTCCTTAAGATAAGCAACACCGAGTCCAGCAGGAGCCCGGAGCTGATTGAAGTGCAGAGCCACGTCAGCATGTTCCTGAGAGCTGCCGGCTTCCCCACGGCCTCTGTGCATCCAACTGCAGGAGGCCACCTCAGCTCTCTCGTGTCCATAGGTAAGAGCCTGCCAGCTCACCGTCACTGCGTCCACGTACGTTACTGCTTTTGAGCTACAAGTAGAAACACTGGGAACAGGCTGATGGCTCCCAGTGTAGGCGTGGGGGACGTGCGGCCTCCCCAGAGTGGAGATGGGGGGGGGGCTCTGATTCACAGGATCTGCTGTAACTCTTCCCCTCAGAAAGGACTTGACGGGGGCACCTGGGGGCTCAGGTCGTGATCCCAGGGTCTTGATCTCCGGGTCACGGATGACCTGGGGCACCCCGCTTCCCAGTCTTGCGCGTCCTCTGAATCCGGGGCCACTGAGCCATCATGTGTGCGTGGCTGGCTCTGGAACCCTCCTCGGGTCTGTCCGTCCGTCCTTTGGACCCCGTGAAGCCTGTGTGTTGCTCTTATCCTGTGACGTCTGTGGTTCTCCTGGTCGTAATGACCGAGCAGGACAGCCCCAGCCATCTCCCTGAGATGTGACGGCATGTGCTTGCGTCCATGCAGATGGCGGCTCTGGAGTCGCAGGCTACCTGCTGAGGCTGCTGTCCTACCTCCCGGGGACGCCTGTGGCCGAGATCCCCAGCAGCCCCCAGCTGCTATACGAGGTCGGGAGGCTCGCCGGCAGACTGGATGAGACCCTGCAGGTAGGACGTGGGGCTTTGCTCTCTTCTAGGACCTGTGTATTTGTTGAGTTGTGGTCTTTTTCAGTTAACAAACCCAGGGCCGGACTCCCCTTCTCCTCTCGGTGCCTCCTGTGGGCTGTTAGGAAGGGACTAGGGCCGCTGCTATGGGCATTTCTTGACTGCGAGGCCTCTTTCCGCCCAGCCCTGCGCCTCGAGGGAGTGTGGGCAGGATTGCCTGCGTTTCCAGGCGGTCCCTACGCTCTTGGTGCCGCTCCCGGAAGACCGTCTGCATTTGCGGAGTGAGCCCCACACTGTCCGGCCAGCGAGCGAGCCACGGCCAGAGCCGGAGGCCTGGGCGGACGTGTGTCTATGTGGTGGTGGAAACGGTACTGTGGACGACGAGTGTGCCCTGCAGCTGCCCACAGCATGTGTGTACGTGCCCCTTGGCCGTGCCCGGCTCCGGGAGAAGAGGACGGGCTCACCTGTCCCAGAGGAATGTGCTGGGGCGGGGGCGACACGCACGCTAAGAGGTGGTCTGCGCCACGTGGTCTGCATGAGGAAAACACCTCCAGGACCCCCGCTGAGTCCTGCTCATGCCACAGGCCACGTGCCTCTGTGGCCCGGCCGCCCCCGCTCCTGCCGTGACTGTTCTCGCTCACCACAGTTGCCTCCCTGTGGTCAGGCTCCTTCTCCAATTTACTCTTTGTGCTGATTCAGAGTTACTTTCTACAATTACAAATCCAACCACGGACCCTGTCAGCAGCTTCTTGCTGCTTCGACGTGGAGGCCAAGGTCCCCGTGTGAGGCCCCGCGTGCCCTGTCCTGCCTGCATCCCCACAGGGCCTCCGTCCGTCCGTCCGTCCTCCCCATCACTCCTTGTGGATCCCCGACGGGCCACTCTGTCTCACACGTCTTCACGTGTGTCTTCGCACGTGCCACTTTCTGAGCTACCGGGACCTTTCCCCGTGCAGCCAGACTCCCACACGTCCTTCAGCACGTGGCTTGGGTGTCGCCCTCTGGGAAATGCCCCCTGGACCCCTCCCTTCCGTGCTGTGCATAAACGATCACTCCCTCCTCTTGCGACTTCTGAACTCGGACCTCCTGTTGCCGGCCTCGCCGAGCAGCGTCCCGGCTACCTATGCCACGTAACAGACCATCCCCAAACTGAGCCTTCAGATGTGGATTTATTTCTCGTGTCTCTGTGGGTCGGGGTGTGGATGGGGCCACGCGTGCAGCCTCACTCAGTGGGGTGCTCGGCCGGGGGCGCTGTGGTTCTCCCCCACGGGGGCTCTCGTCCCCCAGGATGGCCCCGCGTCCTCACCACGAGGCAGCTGGTTGCCGAGAGAATAAGACGGGGACAAAAGTGGAGACAGACGCTGGTCAGATTATGAGATACATTGTCGTGTACGACACGAAAGGGTTTAGGGAGCTTGGAGGGTTTTTATTTTTATTTCCTGGGTTTTTTTTTAGTTTAAATTAAGTTAATTAAGATATGACGTATTATTGGCTTCAGAGGTAGAGGTCAGGGATTCATCAGTCGCATGTGACAGCCGCGCTCGTCACCTCATGTGCCCTCGCCTGGAGGGTCTTCAGACGGGCACAGATCGCGACGTTGCGGCACTTCGTGGACCACTGCGGCGGACAGGCTGGCAGAGAGCCGGAGTGGGCGGAGCGCGTCTAGGAAGCGAAGGAATCATCAGAGAGAAGCTGACTGAGGGCCGGAACCCATGAAAGCTTCAAGATACATGTTGAAGACGGAGCCGGCCGGATTTGGTGATTGATTTAAAGTTCCGCGATGGGACACAGAGGGGCTGAGGAAGACGCGGGCTCTAACGTGTGTGCTGGGACCCGGCGCCGTGCACAGGACGGGAGTCACCCCCGACGTCGGTCACAGGGGAGCCCCGTGCCGCGGGGGAAGCTCGCCAGCCTCCGTGGACCTCATGCCGTGCCCCCTTGTGGCTCCTGGGGTCAGCCCGTCCACGGTGTCCTTCCCTGTGGCTGCTGCTTTAGAAGAGTCACCGGAGCCTTAGCGGGAGCTCAGTGAGAGAAGGGCCAGGGCACCCCAGCCGTGAGACGGAGGAGGTTCCTATGCCCCCTGTCCCAGAGCCCCTGGGGCCGAGCAGGAGACTTCCTGTGTGCCTTCTGTCCCCGTGTGCCATGCAGGCGTGGCTGGTAGGGGAGGTGAGGTCTTGCTGGTTTTCCCGTCTGACAGTCTGTGTCCCTCCTCTGGGATGTTTGCGTTTAACCTAGTCATGCCGTGGCCCCTGAACTCTGGCTCGGATGCCCAGGAGCCGGAGCTGCGATGCTCACACTCGGCAAACCTGTACCGGGCGCCCGTTAGGTGTGATGTCTTTATTCATTTTATTCTTTCCGGTCTTCATTCGTCAAACGACCACGTGGCTGGTGTTGACACTCGGGTTTTACTGCGAAGGAAACAGATCTGCAATATTAAGCGGAAGAGCCTGTTGGGACCCTGCTGTGTCGGACCTTGGGGCCGGGTCCTGTCCCGCACCTCCTGCTGGAGCCCGGGCCCTCTCCCATGGGCTGTGTGGCCGGCAGTGCCCTGTTTTAGGAGCCAGCCCAGAGCCCTCCCCGGGTGGACCATGGCTCCGTCTATTGTGCTCTTTACAACGGAAAGGAAGAAGAATGCCCGGTAAACTTTCCAGTGGTTCCGAACAGGGTCAGCGTTCTTTCTCTCCCGTACCTTGTCCACTCGTACCTGCAGTCCTGTCCCCCAGGGACAGAGCTTCTAGCAGCGTTGTCATGCTGAACATTCCTGTGACCTCGAGTGGCCCTTGGCATGTCATGCTGTCAGGAGGGTCAGACCGTGTCCCGTGAGGATGACTGGGCACTGGCAAGCTTGACTCTGCCAGGAGGACACTCTGGGGGGCAGGACTGCCGTCTGGGACTGTGTGGTGGCCGGTCAGGTGGGAGACGGCCCCGATGTCATCACTGGAACCAGGGCCGGGGACACAGTACAGAGACAGCTCGGCTCAGCGACAGGAAGCCCGCAGAGCCGCTCAGGCATGAAAAGTCGCCCCCGTGAGAGGTTCTCTGACCGAGGCTACTTAGCAAGTCCGTAGTGGTGACAGTGGAGCCTGGGTGGTCCAAACTCCAGGCCTCGAGAGTGGATGGCAAAATCCACTGAGAGGAATGTTTCTAAAGAAGTAGAATAAAATCCAAAACCCAGCATACGTCCCATGGGCTGGTCCACATGCTGCTGACGGAGGCCTGTCTCCTGGGCTGTCCTGCGACACGGCTGTCTCGCTTGAGAAGTCACGCCCAACGGATGGAAGGGACCTCAGCGCCCCTCAGCCCGTGCGTAGTGACTTCCCTCGTTATCCTGTGTGTCGTGATGGGCAGAGCTGTTTTGAACTCCATATAGAGTGGCCCAAGGCTAATGGCCTTGGCAATTATAGAGTTTTCTATCCCGGGAACATTCATTTATTCGGCAACTGTCGCTGGAGCAGTGTGTTCTTTGAGCCGGGCACCGTGGTAGGTGCGGGAATGTGGAGTGAGCCGACGGACCAACCCGGAGCGCGGCCCTCGCAGGAGCTTCCGTTCCCGTGAGGCTGGAGAGTAAGGCCAGAGGGTGAGCTCCGGAGAGCGGTAGCCGCACGTGCTGTGGGCTCGCGGGGAAGACATCAGCGCGGGGAGGGGCAGGAAGGACCGGAGGGGGCTGATGTTTTGGGTGCGGTGGCCGGGGGGGCCTCCCACAGAAGGAGCTGGTGGACGTTCACGGCCTGGCTGTGTGTCCAGGGGAGCAGCGAACGCAGAGGCCACGGGGTGGAGGTGTGCGGGTGCGGTCCTGCCCCCCGGGAGGCCGCTGTGGCTGCAGGAGAGTCCGCGAACATAGTAGAAGGTGAGGTCAGACAGGTCACGGGGGGGCTGGCTGTCGGGGTCAGCAGAGTTCTTTCTCCCTGCCTCCAGCTCCCACTGGGGGCTCCAGGAAGTCCCCCTCAGCTATGAGTGAGATGGGGACGTGCCCTCAGAACAACGACTCCTGGTCAGGTGTGCCCGGGGGGGGGGGGGGTTAACGGAGCGTGTCGGTGAGCGCGGGGGCGCCGCGGGCCCCTCGGACTGAGCCTGAGAGGGCGGTCTCTCGCCCACCCAGCTGTCCCTCGTGGCCGCTCTACCTGTCCAGACTCTCAGGGCTCCTTGTCTTCGGTTTAGAAATTTCGTCACCCAAAGTTAAGTCATCTTCGTCGGGAGAACTTCATTTGGAATCTGAAAAACGTCCCTCTTCTGGAGAAGTACCTGGACGCCTTGGACCAGAGCCGAAACCGGGAGATTGTCATACAGGTCATCCAGCTGTTCAAGGACGAAATCCTGACCAAACTACGTCACTTCCGAGAGTGTGAGTACCCCCGATGGGGGAGGTATTTTCCTTGCTGTTTACACTGGCACGTTTAGAGCATCAGAAGAGCGTGGACATACGACTCAGTTTCACCAAGTCTCAAAATGGGGCCGAGCTTGCTCCTCGTGCTTTAAAGAATGGTACTTCTACTTCCCTTAAAATTGCCACATTTGAGATCCTCTCCAGACCTTACGTGATCACACCTTCCCCTCCCTACTGAATTCGCACTCACTACATATGTGTTCATAAATGAGGTGCCATGACGTTCTGCATGTTTTCCACTGTTAGATGGGATCAGGTGGTCTTACTGTTCTGCAACCTGCTTTTCTCGGTCCAGATTAATCATTTCCTATGGGTTCTAGCTCATTTCGCCCATTGTTGCACTAAGTAGTATCCCATACTACTCAGGTATGCGCCACCATTTATTTCAATGTACTGTGCTATTTTCAGTCTCTTCTCTTGTTGATAGAATTTTAGGTTGGTTTTTTTTGTTGTTGTTGTTCCGTTGTGGGGTTCCGGTGAGCACACTAGTGTGTACCTCCTTATGGATGTGGGCGACAGTTTCTCCAGGTGGAAGCAGCCTTGGACGGGGCACAAAGCACGGGTCGGAGGACCAGGCAGGAAGGGAGCTTGCCGCAAGCCTGACGAAGGCGGAAGCCTCCCTCCTGCCTCTGCTTTCAGCAGGGCCCAGCTCTGGCTGCCGCCACAAAGTGTGGAGATGGGGTGGGGGCCTTCCCATGGTTCTGGAGGCTGGAAATGCGAGGGCCGGATGCCAGCATGCTCTGTTTCTTTCCCAGGCCCTAGCCACCTTCTCTCCGCATCCTCACGTGGTGGACAGAAAGCGCTGCGCTCTCCCGTCGGTGTCTCTTCTTAGAAGGGCACTAATCCCACCATGAGGACCCCACCCTCGTGGTGCATCTAAACCCCATTACCTCCCAAAGACCCCCAGCTCCAGACACCACCACGCTGGTCGGCGGGCTTCAACATGTCGGCCGTGGGGGGCCGTCACAACTCCATCTGTAGCGTTTACTTCGTGTAAACGTAACGCAAGGCGGTAGCATAAAAATAGAGTTGACTTCCCCCATCAGATCTGCACCCCCTGCTCATCTTCACCTCATGAAAATGGTATCTGCCATTCACCTCGCTGATCTCGCCGAAAACCTGGGAGTTGGCAGCCTTGACTGTTCTTTGTCACACGCTTCACACGCACTCGAATTCTCCTGGTTCCAGTTTCACTTTCCCACCTTTACTGCTCCGCCGGTCCTCGCTACGCTCGCTTCTCGTCCGCATTACGGGGTGCACGGCCCTGCGCGTGCTGAGGTAGGACTGCTGGGCCATAGGACAGGTCTACGTGCCGCGTGACGAGACACTGGCACACGGCTTTCCTGAGAGCCTGCGTGACTGTGCGCTGCTGTCAGTAGAGGCTGCGCGTGTCCGCTGCTCCCCACCCATGGTGTCCTCACAGTCTGACCCCCTCCAGTCCCATAGGAAACAGCGATTCCTTCGGTTTTACTCTGCCGTTCCCCATGTATTGGCCATTTGGATAAACTCTTTCGTGAAGTGCCTCGTCAAGTCTTTGGTCAGTTTTCCAGCTGGGATTTCCTTCTCAGTGATTTTAGAGGTTCCAGATAGTTCCTGGACACAGCTCCTTTGTTGGTTATATGTGTTGCAAATATTTTGTTCCATTCTGCCTTTTCACTCTCTTTATGATGTGTTTTGATCAACGGTCCTGAGTTTCTTGGTTTCAAGTATATCCGTCTTCTGCTCCTTGGTTAACGTTTTGTGCCTTGGGTCGACATTTTCCCTACCTTGTGGTCCCGAAGATATTCTCCTGCATTATCTTACTGAAGCGTTACAGTTTTTCCCTTTCATTACACGTCTATAAACCGTCTGAAATTTACGTATGGTGTAAATTTTTCTTGTGGTTGGTAACTTTTTCACCAGCATTTATTAAAAACCTTTTCTCACTTGGCTTTGCAGTACCATCTCCGCTATAAACCAAATGCCTGTGGCTCTCTGTGTTGTCCCCTGTTCCCCTTGCCGGTCTCTGCTCCTGCACCACACTGTGTGTCAGCTCGGCAGGGTCATGCTGCAGCGACAAGGGGCCCGTAAGGTACTGTGCACTGCGGTAGCAGAGCTACTTCTGAATCCAGCGGCCCGTCCAGCGTGGACTGTCTTGGGTTCTGCTCTGCGGACTCTCACGCTGGGACCGAGATGCATGGGACGGAGTGCTGCTGTAGCCGGGGAAGGGGAAGCTGGACACGGTACACATCCTTGCATCTCTGCCCTGAAGTGATGTCACTTCTGTTCAGTTCGAAGGGCCAGAAAGTCCCCTGGCCATACACAACTTCTTGAGGAGCAGAGAAGTACAACCCAGCATGTTCCTGGAGGGAATGTAGCTGGACTATTTGTGGGTGTTTCTAAAGATTACCACACTATCTTAATTTTTTTAACTTTTAAGGTCTTGTAGCGGGTAGAACATGGCCTCCCACCTTCTTGTTCTCTTGTAAGAGGGTCTTGACTATTTTGGGTTCTTTTTACTTTAAGTATGTATCAATTTTGGAATCAGTGTGTCATATTTTTACAAATTTTTATTAAGATTTTGGTTAGGTTTGGATGGAATCTCTATATAAATTTGGAGGAAATAGGTAGGATAGCTTATTTACACTTGTTTATGTTACACTTAGAAGATGGAGGAATCTAATCATGGACATTGGCCCGTCTCTGCACTCACAGAGATCTGTAGAAGATGGTTCTTAGTTACCCTTCTGGTGTGGATTTCTCCTGTAGCTGCACTGTGGGTGGGGAACACGGGTCCTGTCGGCGCTGCCCAGGAGAGCTTCTTCACTGGTGGAAGTGCTCTGTGTCTATGTGGTCCGTTGCAGTAGCTTCTAGCCACCATGGAGCACCTGCAGTGGGACTCGTGCCACTAAGGAACCAGAGCCTCATTTTATTTAATCTGAATGATTGTGAATGACATCACATGGCCGACGACTACCATATGGGACAGAGCAGCTTTACGTGACTTCAGGACTCCCAAATTTGTTAAGATTTATTCGATGAAGCAGCATTTGGTAAATTTAAAAAATGGTCCACGTGTGCTGAAAAAGAAAGTGTATTCTGTGGTTGTTGGGTGCAGTTATGTATATGTTAGTTGGTCAAGCTCGTTGCCCTGTTGTCTAAATTCTCTATTTACTGATATTTTTGTCTGTGTGTTCTAACAATTATTGACAAGTGTATTTTAAGTCTCTTGCTGTGATTGTGGATTTCCTATACTTTTTGTGTATCTCTGTCAAAATGTGCTTTGTATATTTTCAGGCAACGTGCACATAAAATTAGGATTGTTACCTTACTAGCGAACTGAAGCTTTCGTCCATACAGTTTCTCTCTTTACTATTTGTTTCCTTTGCCTCAGTGTCTGCTCCCTGGGATACCGAACAGTTGTGCAATCCTGTCCTGTACTCTCGCCTCTGTCTGTCTGTTCCAGTTCTTTCTTTTCTTCTACTCCTCTTCTTTTGACATCATCGTTTTTGAGGTCATTCTTTTCGTAACTGTATTTCTTTCTGTCCAGAAGTTTGGGAGCTGTATGCTGTCATATGTGACCCCAACTTATCAAAGTGTAACGTGATCCCAGACAACATAGGGACCTAAAGATACCTTGAGTGCATTTATGTCTGTCCTGGCTTATAAGCCACTGATTTGGTAAATGTGGTGAACTTCAGATCCCTACTTGGGGCCTCCAGAAGACAACGCTACTGTTGTTTCAGAGTCAGGTTTGTTTACATTTACTTGTGTGTTGGTTTCCTCTCCTCCAGCCTCAAGCATCCTGCCTGGCCTCATTTTGTTCCCGCCTAGAACACATTCCCTAGCATGTTCTCCAGTCCGGTTCTCTAACGGTGAACTCTCTGATGTCATCTGTCTGAAAATGCTTTTGTTTTCTCTTCATCCTTGAAGGATATTTTTTTTTAAATTTATTTATTCGAGAAACAGAGAGAGAGCATGAGAGGGGAGGTCAGAGGGAGAAGCAGACTCCCCATGGAGCTGGGAGCCCGATGTGGGACTCAATCCCAAGACTCCGGGATCATGACCTGAGCCGAAGGCAGTTGCTTAACCAACTGAGCCACCCAGGCGCCCCTTGAAGGATATTTTCATAGCCTATAGGACTCTAGGTTTTGGGGTTTGGGGATTTTAGGTTCCACTCTCTCCTAGCTTCTCCATTCCTGCTGAGAGGTCAGCTGTCGGTCTGAAGCCTTTGAAGACCACCTGCCTTTTTCCCTTTGGGGTTCTTGTAGGATGTTCTCTTTTTCTTAAATGATTTTTTTTCTTAATATGCTTGGGTTTCTCAAACCTGTATGAGGATATTGTCTTTCATCAGTTGTGGGAACTTCTTGCCCAGACCCATTCTCTTTCCTCCTTTTGGGCTACCGTTAAGTTCATGTTCAGTCTTCTCACTGAGTATCCTCTGTGTCCCTACTCGTGTGTGTGTGTGTGTGTGTGTGTGTGTGTGTTTTGTATTTTTTCTGTGCCTATGCTGCATTTTAGATATTTCTCTACCATGTCCTCTAGTTTATCGATTCTTTCTTAAGTTATGTCTAGTCTGTTATAGCCACCCACTGCATTCTTCTCTCATTATGTTTTCCAGTTTTAAGAAGTTCTTTTTTTTTAAAGATTTTTATTCTTTATTTGACAGACAGAGATCACAAATAGGCAGAGAGAGAGGGGCGGGGGGAAGCAGGCTCCCTGCTGAGCAGAGAGCCCAATGTGGGGCTTGATCCTAGGACCCTGAGATCATGACCTGAGCTGAAGGCAGAGGCTTTAGCCCACTGAGCCACTCAGGCACCCCTAGAAGTTCTTTTTTAATTAAAAAGTGTTTTACATTATTTTTTGTTCCCATATAGTTACCATACAGTGTCACATTAGTTCAGCTGTACAATACAGTGATCCACCATTTCCACATATGACTCAGTGCTCATCACCATAAGTGCACTCGTCAGCCCCTGTCACCTGCCTCCTAGAAGTTTCCGGTTATTTTTCTAGAGTCACTACCTTGTGTCTAGAGAACATACGATATATCAGCACGCAAGGAAATCAGGCACCATGAGCAAGAGCCAAAAGAAGCTCATTTGAGGGGCCTCCAGCCAGCCGAGTCCATAGAACACGAGACTCTTGATCTCAGGGTGGTGAGTTCAAGCCCCATGTTGGGTGTAGAGAGGACTTAAAAAACAAAAAATCTTAAAAAAAGAAACTAACTCAAAACTAAACCAAAGACTGTGGTAACCAGAATGACTGCTCTGTCCTCCTGCCTCTCTGGACCCGGCCATGTGAGTAGTGGGGTGTGAGCAGGCTTGTCATCCTTTTGTGAGTTCGTCATGTCATGTCACGGCCTTTCACGTCCTGTGGTGAGCCTTCTCCCGCACCCAGCAGGCAGCACGTCCAGTTCCTGTCCCCCTAAGGGGTAAAGCACATTGCCGACCTGGAAGACCGTCTACGGACCCAAGGCTGCGTTCCTGCTCACTGCATTTCTGTTCTGTGTTTTAGAATATAAGTCGATCTTGTTCTTGAGGTTGGCTCTATCTTTATTTTCTTTTCTTATTTTCGTCATTACTATGTATATTACACACAGGAGGCTTATCAGAGAATGAACTCACTCTGCCATCTTGATCAGAATGCCTCCTCTTTCTTTAATTCTCAAATTCAACAACTTTTGTAATTTCCCCCCCAGGCGTTGAATAGCTCTATCATTTTTTGATAGGCCAGTGGACAAGGGATAGAAGCAATAAAATGCTTGCGTAAGTATAGATTGCGTGCTTGAAGTAACGTAACTCAGTGGTTCTAAAATCCCATTTGATTGCATAAGATGCACCGTTCCTTCACCTCTGAGGAGGAAGAAACCTTGCCAATGAGACTGTGACACAGCGTCCGTTGTATCATGCGTCCCAGTTTCACAGATGTGTAGTTTAGAATCTGTGGTTTCCAAAAATGTTCATTGTTTCTGCATGTCACCCACTGGGCTAAATTACTTAAGCATGAGTTACGTGATCCCAAGTCACCTAGAAGAAGTCGGCATCGTACTCAGGAGTGGATGTTACTTTCTATCACACACTTACCTGAAAGTACGTGACTCACCGCTTCATGCTCCTGGATGTCCCTGTGTCTCCCTAATCCTTAGCCAGGGTTTTAAATCAGAATTTCTCAGGCTGTTCCTGAGAGAAAACAAGTGTGGTTTTTCCCCAGCGCCTGTTGCGTGGTTCTGCTGTTCATGACCGGATCACACCCTGCACCACACACGACTGACCGTGGGAGTCCGGTAACACCAAGTTGGTCTGTACTCTTAATGACACGCACGATCATACTCTTAGATGACAAATTGCTGTAAACACTCTGTCTTTTCTAAACATGCTCAATGTCTGTTTTTATCTCATACACGCTAGTAAGAGTTTGTGGACCATCAGTGACCACAGACCCCCCACTTCGAGTGGTACTGACTTGAGATCAGTGTCTAATCTAGTAATCAAAGGACTGGGAGAACTCACAGTTACTTGTCATCAGACTTCTTTTTTTTAGAAATCCTAGGTTAAAATAAAGACACATCTGGCCCATTCTAGGACTCTTGGCTTTTTCTTCTTATTTTTTTTTCCTTTTAAAAAATTTATTTTTTATTTTAAGCCCTCTCTACATCCAACACGGGGCTTGAATTCACAACCCCAAGATCAAGAGTTGTACACTCCACTGACGAGTCAGCCAGTCTCCGTTAGGACCCTTTGTTTCGTACGATAATGTGAACATACGTATATTCCTTTTGAACACTCTCCATTCATTCTGCCAGCAGTCAGAACCACGTGTTTGCAGCGGCCAGCCTGCATCCTCTAGCCTCGTACTGATAGAAGCAAAGCAAATACAACCACTAAAATTCACTGCTTTTTTTCCCCTTTCAGAGAAAATTCTTTTATTTCAGGCAAAATAGGGTTTGACTCTACCTCTGGACTGCTCATCACAGCTGAGTGGCGGTGCCCCAGGAATAGGAAACGGGCAGAGAAGGAGCTGGGGAATTTCATGTTTGCCCGTGGCTTGATTTTTCTCCTTGTAGGTGTCAATCATGGAGATCTTAATGACCATAATATTTTAGTGGAGCCCAGCAAGTCAGCCTTTGGCAATGCCGTGTACCACGTGTCTGGCATTCTGGACTTTGGTGACATGAGCTACGGCTACTACGTGTTCGAAGTGGCCATCACCATCATGTACATGATGATTGAGAGCAAGAGTCCGCTGCACGTGGGAGGTCACGTCCTTGCAGGCTTTGAGAGCGTCATCCCGCTGACGCCCGTGGAGAGGAGCGCCTTGTTTCTGCTCGTGTGTGGGCGCTTTTGCCAGTCCCTGGTCATCGCGGCACACTCTTGCCAGCTACACCCAGAGAACAAGGACTATCTCATGATTACTGCGAAAACCGGCTGGAAGCGCTTGCAAGAGATGCTTGACATGGGCCGGAAGGCTGTGGAGGAAATCTGGTTTGAAACTGCCAGGTCCTATGACTCGGGGGTCTCCATGTGACTCAGGGAAACTTCACGTGAGCTCCGATCATGGAAAACCCAAGGAGACCAAATCAAATTCTATGAAAGTTTTTCCTGCTCTGTGAGAAATGAACTCACGGAACAGACCAGTGCCTGTGGAACCACGAAGGCCTTCCAGCGATCTCAGGACCGCTACTTACATGTATGCAAGTGCCCATGAGCAGGTGCGTCCCTCTGGGGTCCAGCTTGCCTTGTGGGTAGAACATGCAGAAGGGTGGTTTTGAGTCAGATCATCTCTCAAGGACTATCCAGCCCTGAGCTCAGTGACTGTGCTAAACTTTAAAAGGAACACACGTGTATGGATAGATTCATGTATTTTAAATAATTGGGTGTAACACAGGGACCTGGTTAACATAGCCCCAGTTCCGTGAAGCCTCCTCTTGTCCCCCCGCTTCGCTGAAACCCCGCTGTGCTCTGTCTTCATTGTGGCACATCACTTGGTATCGTGGATTATGGCCGTCACGTGGGAGCTCTTGGAGGGCAGAGACTATGTCGAACTATTTTTTGTCCTTGTCCCTTTTTTAATACAGCGCTTTCCTCATGGTTTCAAAAGGTATTTGTAAAATGAACGTATGCTACGAGAAATGTGTGAGAAGGCACAGACTAAGAGGCAGACAGTATTCGTAAGAAGAAGGGTTCGCGTGCTTGAGAGGACAGCAGTTGAAACTGGGCCTGGACAGTACTGGACCTGCCTGTAAGCCAAGGGAGACCTCCGGGCAAGGCCGCGGACTCCTGAGTGAGGGGCCCGAACATCACTTCGTTTTCAGCTTGAGACTAAGAGGGTCTCTCAGCAGATACTGCAAAATTGCTCTCCTTTGTGGTCCTTTTCATATGAACACGTGATGTCTGTGAACCGCAGCTCCCTGCACACTGACGTGCATGGTACCACAGTCTCCTTCGCTGATTTTTCTTCATGTCTCCCTTCGTGCAATTCAGTAAATGGCTTTACTTATTCTTGTGGGTTTGTCTGTTCTCCAGGAGATCTTAAATCTCCAGGCCTGGCCATTCAGGCTTGTCTTTTTCCGTGTATGTGAACAGACATCGCTTCTCCATCTGTGGAGTGGACTCATGAGACGAAATTCAGTTGTGGTTGGTAGGGTTTATGATGAATAACAAAGACACTTCTCTTACTCTACCATTCAGGGGATTACAAGGGTTTTAGAGCAGAAGGAAACCCAAACCTGTATTTATTATATCACAGTATTTTACATGCATTGTCTCATTTAATCTCCACAACAAACCCACGAGGGAAGTAGTGCTGTGATTAATCCCCATATTCTTACAGAAGAATTTGCTTACAGAGCCAGGGTCCCAGTCCTCCCTTCTCTCACCCACCGTGCATGCACGTGTGAGCACATCTGTGTTAGAATCAAACGAGATCACTCACGTGAAAGCACTTATGCTTCTGAAATTTAAGGCATTGTATATATTTTTTACAAAGATTTCATCATCATTTTTTTTTTAAAGATTTTTTTTTATTTATTTGACACACAGAGAGAGAAATCACAAGCAGGCAGAGAGGCAGGCAGAGAGAGAGAGAGAGGAGGAAACAGGCTCCCTGCTCAGCAGAGAGCCCGACGCGGGGCCTGATCCCAGGACCCTGAGATCATGACCTGAGCCGAAGGCAGAGGCTTTAACCCACTGAGCCACCCAGGCGCCCCTCATCATCATTTTTTAAAAGTAACCTCTACCCCCAACATGAGGCTTGAACTCTCAACCCCAATATCAAAGCGACTGAGCCAGCCAGGCGCCCCCATTGTTTTTTTTAATCTAGCTTGACCATTCCGGAAATTGGGGACCAGAAAAAGGAACGGAATCGTGGATTTCACTCCCAGACCACTGTTCATTCTCTTGAACCATGAAACTCTACGGATCTCCTTCTTAATTGCTCCTGCAAACATGGGTTCTCCTTCACCGAGTTCCTAATGCAGATGTTGCTGGCCACGATCTTGATGTTTAAGTACGTACGGGCTCGCATCGATAGTGTACTACTCGGTGTTTGTCCTTGCTTATCTCCAGTCAGTTCCGTGTAGTTTTAAACTCTGGTGGCATAGGGCCACCTGGCCGGCTCAGTTGGTGGAGCCTGTGACTCTTGATCTTGGGGTCATGAGTTTGAGCCCCACATTGGATGTAGAGATTTAAAAAAAAAAAATAGGTAAACTTAAAAAAAAACCCATGTCTTTGATGGCATACATCGAATAGTATTCATTTTCTGTTGTTAGCTCCGTACCAGACCCCTGGCACACCCTTAATAAACTGCTGGGATGAATGCATTTCCACAAGAGCCAATCCCTGGTCCTTTCATCCACGGAGGGGAAAACCCAGTTCTAGATTTGGGGATCAATGCCGTATGCACAGCAAAGACTCTGCTCTTGCTTTTTCTGTCCAGGCTCTTATCCCCTCCAGGCTACAGAAGCACCTTACTTTCTGGTATTCTTATCCTTAATCTCTCCAACCTACCTCCATCCTTTTAGAGACAGATTAAAAACTCCAGCTGCATATTGCCGTGTGACAATTTAACCAAAAACTTAGTGGCTTAAGTCTCAGTCATTAGCATCTCATGGATTCTACAGATAGAAACTCAGGCACCAGGACAGCTGGTCTCTGCTCCCCAAATGCTTGGGCCTCTGTTGGGAGGTGATCTGGGGATTGGGGGAAATTCAGTGACTGAGGATATCAGCAGCAAACTTCACTCACGTATCTGACAGGGGATGCTGGGACCTCGTCTAGGCTGGTGGCAGATCACCTCTCCATGTTCGAAGAACGAGCATCCCAAGAGGACAAGACAGCAATCTATCATCTTTTATGACCTACCTACAGCGTATGACTTCTGTTGTAGTCACAGGCCCAGGGGACTCAAGGCGAGGGGACACAGGACCTCCAAATGGGAAGCATCCATACCACATTGTAAAAGGAACATGTGAGGCCTCATCATCCTAAAGCATCACTTTAATGCTCCCTGTGACCCACAGGGGAAAAAATTCTGGCGTTGGAGGGATCTACGAATCGGCCTGATGTCTCTCCTCCTTCCCTTCCTTTGTTGTCTCCTTCATTCCGCTCAGACTCAACTGCTCTGTCCCCCAAACTGATTAAACTCGTTCTCTCTTCTGCTCTTTTGTCTCACCAGATCTTTCTTCCGTCGACCTGACATCCTGCCTCTCACTTGGGCCTGAGAACGCATAGTGACCCACCAGCGTGGGGCCCTGTGCCGTTTTGCCTGGCTCACCTCCTCCTGTGCCCGGGAAGCAGGAGCGACAGCAGAGGCCTCACACACGGCTCATTCCCAGGCTGCCTCCTCTTCAGAGTCCAGTCCCCCAGGAGTAATTTTCCATCCGGCCTGAAGAGCCCGGAGCCCCTGCCCTCTGGGCCTCTCCTTGGAGGGGACTATAAGCCCATGACTCCGTCTTAACCCAGATCTGGCCAAACATGCGACCCAGGGCAACTTAAAGCAAGAACAGTAGGTGGTGGACCGGAGGACGGGAGCCGCTGGGAGCAGGGCAGAGGGGCGGGCACCGAACAGACACCAGACGGGGTCAGCTGAGCCGAGTGCTGTGCGCGCTGCTGGTCGGTATGGCCCTAACTCGGGCGGGCCGAGCGGGGAAGAGGCTGAGACCAGGCGTGGGCCCCGCCGGGGGTGCGTGGGCCCGTCCCGGCCTGCTCCGTGGGCCCGCAGTGAGAGCGGAGGGCAGAGACCCGCAGGCGGGACGCAGCGCATCTGACGAGCTCGGGACCGGCCCCGCGGAGCAGCGCACGGGCGCGCACGGCCGCCGGCGGGACGCCCCACGCGACAAGCACGCGGATTGTCGGGGAAGCGGCCGAGGAAGGGCCCAGGGCCAGCACCGGTCACAGGGTCCGCGCGGAGGACGGCCCCAGCCGCAGCACAGCGTCCTCGCCCGGGGCCCTTCCGACCCGAGGGTGCGTGGCCACTGGGGGGCGCGGGGCGCGGGGAGGCTCCCGGCGCCACCCAGGCACACAACCCAGGCCTTCACGGAACCGAGCGGAAGTAGAAGCCAGAGTCCCGGGCGCTCCTGCTGTAGCCGTCAGCTCCGGCCTCGCCCCCGGACTTCCGGGCCAGCGGCGGCCCCGCCCCCGTGCTCTGCGCACGCGCGGGCGCCATATTGACAGCGACTGCTCGGCCGCGGCGGTGGCGGCCGGTGTTCTTCCTCGTGAAGAGTCTCGGTGGACGTCTCCACTCTTCCGTGTCCCGCTGGTGAGCTTTTGCCCCTGGGCACCCGCGGAAGGGTGGCCGCCCTCCCCGCGGCCGGGGCTCGTGAACGTCGCGGCAGAGTCGTCTCGGCCTGCGGCCGCCACCGACGCGCCCAGGGTGCCATGACTCTGCACCCGCTTCCTCGGCGACAGGCCGGCCGTCGTGGGGCTCGCCTGCGGGGCGCGCGTCTGGGTCGGGGCCGGGGCCGGGGCCGGGGCGGCGTCCGAGCTGGGATCTAGCGCTCTCGTCGGGGCCGGGACTGGGGTCCCAGCTTGGATCTAGCGCGCTCCTTGGGGCCGCGTCCATGTCCAAGCTGGAGTCTGTCGCTCACGTCGGGGCCGGGGTCCAAGCTTGGAGCTAGTGCGCACGTCGGGGCCGGGTGTGGGGTCCCAGCTTGGATCTAGAGCGCACGTCGGGGCCGGGCCGGGTCAGGGGCCGGGGCCGGGGTTCGAGCTGGGATCTAGCGCGCGGGTCGGCGCCGGGGTGCAAGCTTGGACCTAGTGCGCACGTCGGGGCGGTGCTGGGGGCCCAGCTGGGACCTAGAGCGCACGTCGGGACCGGGCCGGGGCTCGAGCTGGGATCTAGCGCGGACGTCGGGGCGGGGGTGCAAGCTTGGACTTAGTGCGCACGTCACGGCGGGGCTGGGGTCCCAGCTTGGATCTAGAGCGCATGTTGGGGCCGGGCGGGGGCCCGGGCCCGGGGCCCGTTCGAGCTGGGATTTAGCGCGCGGGTCCGGCCTGGGTCCAGGCTTGGACCTAGTGTGCACGTCGGGGCGGGGCTGGGGTCGGAGCTTGGATCAGGCGCTGCGATGGTCCGGGCGGAGGCTGGGGTCTAAGCTGGGATCTAGTGCTCCCGTCCCAGTTGGGGATTGGGCTCCGCCTCCGGTGAGCTCTGCCGAGTGGGGCCTGGGGTGGGGGTTTGGTGCTCACTCTGGGGCTGGGGCCAGGGTGGGGGTTGCACAGGTGGGATGGGGGCGTCACTTGGGAGGGTGGGTACCCGAAAGTTGCCCTGCTGGAACTGCACCGGAGGTGCACAGCGGGGCTTGTGCTCAGGGCTGTCCTTCCCTTTCCCCTGCTGGCTGGTGTACAGCCTCCTAACTGGTTACCTTTCTCGAGCTCTCCTCAGCTACAGTGATCTTCCTGAATGTCATCCAGTTCCTGTGGCTCTGTGGCCCACAGTCCTGCCGTGGAGCCCCGTTGCCTGAGAGAGAACATTTGCAGTTTTTACTTGGATTGGGGAGCTTTCAGGGTTGGGGTCTGGCTTGGATTTCTAGCTTATCTCTCTAAGCTTGCTTCTCAATATTCTGGGATTTAGGAAAATGGGCTTTGCAGTCTGAAGTTTGGCATTTACACTAAATTGCACTGAGCCCCATTGCTGGCTTTTGCAGGAATAGTAGGATCGCCAGCCCTACCTCCTCTAGGCTGGGGCTCCGCATCGTCCTGGAGAAAGCAAGCCTCAGCCTCTTCACTCGGCTCGAGGCTTGTGCGCGTCGGAGTGCGTGCTCAGCTCTCTAGCTCCTTCAGGTTTATTTTAAGTTTAGCAGTTTGTCTCTCACCATTGAGCAGGAGTTCTCCTCGGCCTGGGTTGCTCTCCCCATCTACCCATATTCTTCCTCTTAGGCCCAGTGGTTCCCAGCCTTATTTGTCTCTCCCATGTCTAATTTGAACTCATTTATTTTTATTTTTATTTTTGGTAATTGTTTCTCAAAAAACAATGGTGTCTGCCTCCCTCACCTGAGTACCAGATT